GATCGGATTTAATAGAGGTGCATAAGATAATTTAAAGTATCGTACCTCTCCATCAATCCATTCCATCTTACCGTCTCCATGCCTCATATCTCTCTCAAATTTTCCATCATATTTCGATCCATCCGCCCAGTCCTGAACTCCCGTTCCGGTTCTAACATTATCAACAAAGTCCCCTTTATACCTATCACCGTTGGGCCAAACAAACACGCCATGTCCAGCTTTTATAATACCTTCCTGGAGGTGTCCAGAAAAACTAGCTCCCGATTTGTACGATTTAAATCCGTCATCCACCTCCCGCTTGGCAGTTTTCAGACGAGGAAAAACATAGTATTCGAGTTTACTTGGCATGATCGTGTACTTTGTACCGATTTCTCAGCGCAGATTGTATGACACTTGTGACTCACTTTAGCAGTAGTATTGAGTAGAGTGTTTCACATTAAATCCAATAACACGGAACCATGGCGCTGACAACGTTAGTGAAATGCTCGATCATCAAATAGGCCGCGGCGTTGCAAACTGCCATTCATCATACAAACAAACCGTAACAAACATGGTACCATACCTCCATGATATAACACACAACACTATAGCGATCTAGCAACAAACCAGTAACTAGCTTGGTCTATGTTTTCATAATATCCATACACCGTTCTAGACGTATGTGCTCTCGTTAACTAAGTTGTTCTGCGACATAACTTACAACAAACCAAAATACATAAAACAGCGACTGTGTTCTGTGGCTATCGTCCATATGTAAATTGTGGGCAAGTGGGTAGGTGTTCCTAACATATTCATGTCAAAGGGATTTTATTGTCACAGGAAATTTCGACATACAGGCAACATACACGAATTACAGTTTAAAGTACCTTTGTTGAATAACTAAAATAGTGATTCAATTATTTATTTTGGTAACACTTCGATAAACATAGCAATGAGCGAGTACGACATGAAATGAAACACACCCTATACAGTTGCATCCCCATATTTACAGTGGACGCTACCGGAACTCATCCGCGAAGCCAACAGGTTATAAGGTCATTCGTCTGTTGCCAGGGAACGGTGAAATTACTAACAACGGCGCGTCAGACTCAATAAATACGTATGCTGTGCATGACATCTCCAGAATTGATATAATTAAAAGGCACCGGTTTTATTTTTACATGTTGTACTTTGTGAAAACACACAGGAAACATACATTTTCGACGTTATTTGTGCGGTTTTAGGTATTTTTAATCCGATAAAATGAGTAAAAAAAATAATAAAAACTGTATTGGTGAAAATACAACAAAATATTGACAAAGTATTAATAAAAAATTCCCTATAAAGTTCGTTGCGGCTATTATGGACAGCATGTTTAGAATAGAAGTGTAGAAATTACCGGGGAAGTTAGCATGCCGAGAACCATAAAACAAATTATCTGCGTAATATTATCTTTCAGGGGCCAGTGCTGTTTCTATGCAAGGACAAAAACGATAATACTGTACTTAAAATTGAATACTTGTTCTATGGTTGTTAATATCTTGAATTGAAAAGTAAGAGAGTTAAAATAAATGATAGATAATAAATAAATGAATATGTCAATTAGTATTTTAGATTGCATTGGAATGACTGGGTGTTTACGATCGCCTATACAACTGTATGTTTGATTTCATGGTTCCGCCTAGGGCATAATTTAATATTTTAACTATTGCGTGACCTAATTTCAGAAAAGGGCCCTAACCCAACTATATCGATGTACTTGCGAATAAACAAGAGGCATGCCATGGCGGAATCATTGCTGTAGAGCGATGGGCCAGAGAACTCCGTGGGTGACCGTAAACACTTTAGAAAATTGAGCTGTGCGCTGTCCAACAAACCACAATCCCTAGAGGGACTGTGAAAAAACATAATGATGTGAAGTGATGTAAAGTGATAATTTTCAAGTTTTTATAACAATACTGGACAAGCTGGGACTTGGGTTGAATCTTGACTACTTGACGGTATATGTAGCACTCGGGGAAATAAACAAGCGGTCAGTGTTCATGCTATGTTGTTTGACCATGGGGGGGGGGGGGGTAAATGACTCCATGGTTTGGCAAATATGTGTAACTTGTGTGAAGATGAGGTCAACATACGTCATATTTTCATAATACTGTCAACATGTTTAATCAGTAGATTGCATCTATAAGCTGTAAGGAACGCGGATACAAGTTAAAACGTCACTGAAAAAGTAAAGGAAAAAGAATAAAATAATGAAACAAATCACTATATAAAACAAATTCAACAAAAATAGGTAATAGAAATAAAACACTCGAAATGTGTGTAATTAAAAAATGAAAATACCAGAAAAATACTAAATTGCGAATTAGTAAGTAATTAATATAAAATATAAACTAATTAAAACCAACGGAAAATATATAGCAGTAACTACGATCGCGATCACTACGGTTATTATTTTCAATTGCTTCCTTGAATCTTGACTTCAAAAGTTTTACTTTTTGACGGCACAGTTCTTAGGGTTTATCTCACCGCAATTCCTTGTCTTTTTTGCGACAAACCTGGCTATCATGAGAGGTTTCGTATATAAATCTTAAAATACTTTCCTCTTGCCAAATATAAATCAGTAGCAGGACTTTATTATTATCAAATTATTAACTACTCGTTCCACTGACCAGAGCGGTACAAGTATCACTCGATGTCATGTTGTTGCTATGGACACGAATTCCTGGTATAGGGTGTTTGTGTCACTGTTTATGCCACTGTGCGTGTTCACACAAACTTTTGTTTAGAATTTAGGTCTGAGCCCGGTGTCAAGTCCGCCATTTTTACAGCGGCGTAAACTGATTACACGGTAAAAATAACACCGTCTTCACGGCGGTGTTACAATGGCGTAAATGTAAATGTGTTCAAAAAATTTAGGAACCCGTTCTTCTCAGGGGGGATTGGCACGAGAGGGCGCCATCCGATCTGAATGGAACGTTTCGACGTCAGTCGTCCGTAGCCCACCGTCAAAGCAACAACGTCCCGTTTACGAACAGATGAAATAATTTAAGCGATTTCTTTACAGAATAATCCTCAACAAAACTTAGAAACATTTCATAGACAAAAACAGGCTCCAAAATTATGTCTATTGCAAAACAATTCAACCGACAACCAGTTTGACGCCACAATTTTATGCTGGAGCCCGAGTTCTACGCGTGATTTTATTGCGTTCAAAACTGTTCCATTTCAAACTGCGCATGCACACACACTGTGGTTTCTCGAAATACATATTAATTAGGTAACTTGTCACTGATAAAAGTCACCGAAAACATTTTGAGCAATTTTGAGCAATAGTACTAGAGTGAAATATAAACGTGCCTCTGCATTCTCCATGAATTTCATAACTTGCTATGATCATGGTAAAGAGAAAACCTGTGTTTACTTTCAATAGTTTGCTGGAGTCTGATCGAAAACGTGTCTCAAAAATTACCTTTACATCATTTTTCCGATTATTTTTTCAGCTCGTAACGATAGAATCAGTCAATTTAGAACTAACATGTATGCTATCGGAAAGCATTTTGGCACAATTTTACTGAAAAGACGAGTTTTTCATTGCTCATTAATATTAATTTATGCAAATGAGACGATTATTTCAACCAATCGTGTCATGCAACTAACCCCCCCACCCCCTAGTTCTTCTATTGTTCTTTTAAAGGACCGTGCACTTAGGGGAATGTGACTGGTCGTCTCTGTTAAACGTAGCTCGTCTACGCCTTCCACATACAATGTCGTCACCGTGGTGGCAAGAAATAGTTTTATTGAACGAGTGTAAAGTATCCCACTATCCCAGCTGACTCCATCAATTGTGGCATACAATAAACCAATGAGTCATGCCCTATAACGCGTGTACTAAAACGTATCTTGTCACCTTGTTGGGTAAAGGACCACTGTCTGCAATATACTGCAAATACTTCAATAATATCTTATATACGAACGTGGATTGTGTGGTATAAGTCGTACTTAATCACAAACTTCAGCCGATCATTACGATGGTTTAGAACACCCAACAAATCTTACTTGCACGACCATAGAAAGCTACACAGTTAGTTATCTTGCTGATCCCTAGAAAATGCAAATTGGTCAACGGTTGAATCTCGGTGCTCGTCTCCAGACTTCAAACCAAACGCCTTACAGGTATAAAAGAACGCAGCTTTAGATAACCCCGCGGCTCAGCAACCCCTTTATCGCAAAGAATTTCTTCTTCCACGTCCAATATTGGTTGTACCTGTTTGTGAATAACATCTATACCCTTTCCAATTAATTCTGCGCGTTTCGCATTTAAACAGGCACGGAACTTTCGAAAAATTGATATTACATGTTTTAGAATCTTCTGTATACCTGCATATGGATTACCAGAATTATTCCCAGCTTCCATGACGAAATGACGTCTACGCCGGGAAGACCCACTACGTGTAGGACAATACCCACACCGTCTCGTAGGTTAGCAACTTTACGTGTTTCAGCCCATTGGTTCCAAACTCTGCTTGACCATTCTATCGCGATTCTTGTTATATTAGGGATTCTTTCACGGACTTTCTTTTCTAAATCATTACGCGAAATAAAATGGAAACGTTGACTCCAGCTCCAGCTCGTTTTAGTGAATCAGCTGTGTTTCTTTGTTCCAGGTTTATAGAACTGTCACAATATTTGAACTAAATTTGATTTTATACTTATACTTATATACTTATACTTTATTAAACACGTAATATTCCCCAGGAGGAATTAAAATGGTTACATTTACATTAAACAAAACTAGACTAATAATACAAAACATTAAGACTAAAGTAATGATTAAAAATAGTAATAATCGAAATAAAAAAAATAAAATAAAAAATAAAAACATGAATAGTAATAAATCCCACTAACAGCAATAATAAAAGTAGAAGAAACCATTGTTAAAAAAGTAATAACAATAATGATGTGTTAATGCATTAAGGGTTAAACATTTTGGAGGTGTTGCTGTCTTAAGCAGTTTTAATGAATTGTCCGAGTGTGATATGAATTGAGGTAAAATTATAACTCATTGTCAGTGCAAATTGTTCATTAATTGTAAAATTATCAAAATTATTAATTTGTTTCTTACATTTCTCAAATATTAATTTTCTTTGGTCATTGTAAAATGGACAAGTCATGATGAAATGCTGTTCGTCTTCTATTTGGTTTTTTGTGCAAAGTTCACATACTCTTTCTTTTACAGGTGTTTTTGGTTTGGAATTTCGTCCTGTTTCTATTTTTAAATTGTGATTGCTTAGTCGAAATTTACATAATGCTTGTCTTAGTTCAACATTTTTCAGTGATATCAAATAGTTTTCTTATTCAAATTTATTTTTAAATTTTCTGTATGTTCTCAATTTATTACCCTCTCGATCATTATTTAATTCTTCTTTCCAGTACTGTTTAAATTGTTTTTCCAATTGTATTTGTAAATTTTTGTTTTCAACAGTTGTTGTTATTTTGTCCAAATTCATTTTGTCACTTTCATTGATGTTGTTTAATTGTGTCGTTATTGCGATATAATTACTGTTCATTTGCTTGTTTAGTATTGCTGCTTCTTTAATTAGTACGTTAGGCGAGTTTATTGCGCGGTTGTAGTATTTGATCATTTGTTTTTGTATAAATAAATGTAGCGGATATTCACCCAATTCTCCGTATATTGCCATTATGGGAGT